TAGGCAGAAGACAACGTGTCAGCATTAACGGAACGGTATCAGACTGGGTAACTGTGCGCAGTGGCGTACCGCAAGGAAGCGTTCTTGGACCTGATTGTTCGTCGCTTTTATAAACGATCTACCAGAAAAAGTGTCAAGCGTGTGCTCCATGTATGCCGATGACACAAAAGTTTATAATACTGTTAAGGATGCGTCAAATAAAATGCAACTGCAAAATGATCTTGATAGTTTAGTGGACTGGGCTGATGTGTGGCAGCTGCGTATTAATGCTGGCAAGTGTAAAGTACTTCACCTCGGCAAGAACAATGAACAGCAAGCTTACAGCATGAGAAGACACGGTCGCAACGAGAGGGTAATGATTGAGAAGACTTGCGTGGAAAAAGATCTTGGAGTTTGTGACGACAAGGAGCTAAATTTTATAGGCATATTGAAACTCAAGTTAATACATCCAAAAAAACTGCTTGGGCTGATCAGACGCTCCTACGAGTACCTAGATATAGAAATGATGAAGCTGTTGTTCACCTCTGTCGTGCGCCCGAACCTAGAGTTTGGAAACGTTGTGTGGTCACCGAGACTTGAAAAGGACAAAAATTTAGTTGAGAATGTTCAGAGACGTGCAACAAGGATAATCCCAGGATTAAAGGGCAAGTCTTATGAAGAAAGATTGAAGATTATTAAGCTTCCCAGTCTCCGTTATCGTCGCCTGCGCGGTGACCTCATTGAAGTATACAAGTATACTCATGGGTTGTACAAGGTCCCATAAGGATTACTAGAATTAGAAACAAGAACCAACACCAAGGGCCACAGCTATAAACTAAAAAAACTGTGGTGCAACTTATCCACGCGACAACATTTCTTCTCGCTGCGAGTCACTGACATGTGGAACAGCCTTCCTGAAGATATTGTTGACGCTCCGAGTATGAACGCGTTCAAGAACAGACTAGACAAGGCCATGCATGAGCATATGTTCAGTCTTAAAATGCCTCGCACCCTACGGAACAACTGATATCTAGAAGCGATTTTTAATCTACCGTCCGTTGAAAAGATCTGATCAAAAGGCCAGTCTAGTCAAGAAAAATACAAGAATCGGCGACAGGCCTACCCAGGCCTATTCTCTAATGCGGAAGATAGTACTATACTAAGTGCCTTTAATGAATATGCCTATAATTACCGAACATCTTTAGTTGTCATAGACTTGGTCGGACCTTTATCGCCACCAAGTGAGGATAAGCTCCGTTATATCTTAACGTTTATTGACGTGGCAACAGGGTTCCAAGCATTGCGCCTCAATGATATTGAATCGGTTTCTATGCCCGAAGATCTGCTCCAAATATTTGCCCGCGTAGGGATATCTAAAGAAATACTGTCTGACCGTGGACAACAATTTACATCCGCCTTGATGGGGGAATTGCATAGGTTGTTCAGAACGCCTTATCATTCGATGTGTACAGGTCGTATTGAAGGACTCCATTCTGCCTTGAAATCTCGTCTTAAAAAGCTGTGTATTGACAAGCTAACTCAGTTGCATCGCTACTTGGTACCGACATTGTTCGTGCTCATGGAACTTCCTAGCGACCGTTTAGGCTCGTTTAGGCTATTCCGCCTTCGAGCTTTGTGAACGACCAGTTCGCGGACAGATTTCGGTATTACGGGACTTGTGGGAGGTCAATCGTGTAAATTATGTCATAATGAAGAAGGCCGCACGAAGCTCTATCATGCCAACTTGCTTACGCAATATTCGCGAAGAGTGACTGTTTCCTGTGCTTACGTCTTCGACGGAAGAGCCAGGCCAGCTTTTGCCTCACAGCGATCTCTTTCTTAACTGTAAAAATTGTGTTGTTCAAGAATTTGACGATCAATTTGAAGTTGGCTGTAGTGAAACCTGTATTTCTATAATGAATTTGAGGAGATTGTAACTGCGTGGACACAGGGAACGAGAAGCCTGAAATATGTAGTTTGCCTGACGAAACCCAAACTGTTCAGGTAACCCAGATCCTTAAAGAGTTTGAAAGTGTCATACAGTATCTACAGTTTCTGGATGTATTAGCTCTCTGAAGCATGAAATTAGGTGGACTACGTCAGAACCTGCCTGATCTAAAGTATATTCTGTGCCACTGCATTTGCGGAAGCATTTGACGACGAGGTCGATAATCTATTGCAACTAAATATTATTCAGCTTCCTCTTCACCTTACAGTGCTCCATGTGTATTAGGTAAGAATCCAGATAACAGTTATAGATTAACAATTGACTACCGAGCCCTGATCACTCAGTCCGATGCAGAACCTCCTTGCAACATGGACGAAGAGCTGCACAAATTCCATGGTGCCAAGTATTTCTCCGAAATTGATCGCTGTAAAGTGAAGCGGAATCTTGTTTCGAAAACCTGAACGTGGTGCAATTTATTCGGAAGCTGTACTGAAATTACCGATACCGACCCAGCCCTTCGTTGTACGTACTGCTGCTTTCAATAATTCTGTACGTTGCTTACTATTTCAATATCACGATGACGTCTCTCACCCAATATTCTACGGTAGCAGGAAACTTTTGGATGAAGAAAAATGTTGCGGAAAAATGGTGGAGGAGGAGGAGGAGCTGGAGGAGGAGTTAGTGTGGTTTTTCCGATGTTTTTTTTTATGGTGAACATTACATTTCAATCAGTAGTTCACTGTGTGCAGAAGGAGAGCTGCGAGAGGCCGAAGTCTTCGCTATTCGACGCTGTCGGGGATGACCCTCGCGCAGCAGGCCTCACAGCGCCCCTCACTTGCCCCCTCCGAGTAGACAGGTGATGGGTCGTTGGCTCTTATTTCAGCCCAATTTCATGTTTTCATGTCCAAGTGCATGTCTTCCTTCCCGACTTCCTTTTAGCCCATTTCATGCTTTCCAGCCCAATTTCATGTTTTCATGTCCAAGTTCATGCCTTCTCTCCCGACTTTTAGCCCATTTCATGCCTTCCAGCCCAATTTCATGTTATCATGTCGAAGTTCCTGTCTTCCTTCCCGACTTCCTTTTCGCCCATTTCATGCTTTCCAGCCCAATTTCATGTTTTCATGTCCAAGTTCATGTCTTCCTTCCCGACTTCCTTTTCGCCCATTTCATGCTTTCCAGCCTAATTTCATGTCTTCATGTCCAAGTTCATGTCTTCCTTCCCAACTTCGTTTTACCAATTTTCATGTTTTCATGTCCAACTTCTTTCTGTCCATTTCATGTCTTCCATTTTTACTTAGCCTGCGGATAGCCTGTGCTGACCGCAGGCTGTTAATGAAAATTTCTTTATGCAGAAACTATAGCTCACACATACATGCAGATTGCATTGCATGTGTACAAATTCCTTGTTTCTTACTAGTGATATTTTTCAGGACACCGGCATAAATTTGCCGGAGATCCACGTTATGGACGTGGACGACGTTATGGAGGATCCACGTGGGCAGGAGGTGCAGGAGGAGGAGGAGAGAGCGCCGCAGCTCCTTCAGTTGCCTGATGTCCCGGGCGGTAGACGCAAATCACCCCGTAACCACCCGGAGACAAATATAAATTATACATTTAGTGCCAAAACATGTTTGTGACCTGTGCGATTACAGCAGAGTTCAAACAAAATTATGGAAAACACATTCTTATACACGACAAAAAAATACTGCAATTTCAAATTTGGATTTTAATTTTTTTTTTCAATATACAAATATTTTAAAAAGGGAAAATTTTAATCTGAGAACGATTAGAATTTTTGCATTCTTTATCTTTTGACTGCGACGCCCTCTCCTCCTCTGAAGCTTCTCCAGCTGATACAATCGAGCGTAAGTTGAGGAATTTTTGTTCAAATGTTCTTTTGATTTTTCCTTAACCTGCGGATAGCCTGTGCTGGCGACTAGCCGGTAAAACGGCTTCGTTAAGAAAATGTTCATAATATTTTATATTTATATAATTGCCTTACGCAAAAACTATAGCACGCACATACATGCGGATTGCCTGTATGTGCACAAATTCCTTGTTTCTCTATAGTGATATTTTTCAGGACTTCGGCAGCAGAAATTTAGTGCCGGAGATTCACGTCATGGATGTTGGGGAGGGGGCGCAGCATTATCTTGCAGTCCCGCGGTCGGAGTTCAGGTGGCTACTTTCTTGTGCCCTACACAAGAGTGGCTACTTTCTTGTGCCCTGCAGATCAGGATGATAGGGAGGATGAGGTTGCGCAAAGCTCGTCTGCTGCCTCAGAGCAACAACAATTTAGCCCGCTTGCACCAACCGCTTCCTCCCCCACCGAGCCGTGCCCGCCGTCTACCTTCACCCGCAACAGACTCCTCTACACGGCGCTGACTCGATCCAAACGCCGTCTTGTTGCTGCCAGACCTCCACCAGTGCAGGTCCCCACCGAGCCTCAAGTACCGGTGGCCGCCTCAGTGCAAGAAGAACCATCACCCCCTCCGTCTCCTGAACCTTATTCACTGAGCCTCAACTTTGCCAACCTCACGCCCATTGAGCTGCCGCCGCCCAAGCCGAAGCAAAGAAAAATCAGCGCATATGATGACGTTTCTAGTGCAACAAATAAAGACGTGCCCACTGCGCAGCCGCTGGCCTACAATCCCTTCGATTTCCAAACTACAGTGGCAAAGGAAGCGCCAAAAAGTGCAGTACTTGCGGCTAATCCATTTGACGAGGAACCTCCTAAGAATCCGTTTGATGAAGACGATGAAGAAACCAATAACCCGTTCACTGTGGCTGCTACCTTGCTCGGTGGTTCGCCTCCTGTGGCGCAAGGGGAACTCGCCCGGGGCCGGCAGCTGTTGGCCCCTGGAGCGGCAAAGGATCCACCAGGGGGCGGGGGGCAATGTGGGGTCAAGCCGCAAGGGGAGATGCCCAACACCCCCCCGCTCACAGCAGAGGAAGAAGGGAGTAGCCGCCCCGGACCCCTCTTTAAATACTTTCGAGGCGAGGGCCCCTCGGGGGCCCGCATCGGTGCCTGCCGGACGGTGTCGAGCCGTTTTGGACAGGCTGGCAGCAGCCCTTAGGGTGATTGGACTCCGGTCCATTCACCCGCACCCTGGGCCGAGGAACTGGAGGGGGCGGAGGGGAGTGGGGGAGAGGCGAAGAGAGGAGAGGAGGGAAAGGCGGCACGAGGGTCGGAGGAGGAGGAGGGGGATCGAGGGGGAGAGGATGAGGTTGTGGGGGGGAGGCAGGGAAGGGAGAGAGTGATTGAGAGAGTGATTGTGACGTGGAATGTGCAGAGATTGTCAATGAGAGAGCATAATAGGAGGCGTTTGAAGAGAGTGCTAGAGAAGATTGTGAGGAAAGGGTGGGAGATTGTGTTGTTGAGTGAAATAAGTGCGGATGATGAGGGTGTGTTGTGGCTGGGAGAGGATGAGGAAAGAGTGGTGGTGGTACATGGGAGGAAGTCGGCTGTGGTGTTGAGGGGTGAGGCTTTAGAGGTGTGGGTGAGAGATGGACAGAAGAGATGGTTTGAGGAGAGAGTGACTGCTGTGGTGTTGGGAGGTTTGCGACTGGTGTCAGTGTATCAGCCTGTGTGGGGAACGAATGATGACGGTAGGGAGAGGTACAGAAGAGCGGTTGAGAATCAAGTTGCGTGTGGTGGAAGTGAGAAATTGATTATAGGGGGAGATTTCAACTCGAATGTGGGAAGAGNATCACCCGCCAGCTCAAATCCAGCACGATATCGGGGGAGCAGAAGGACAGATCCAGCGCCGATGATTCTCCCGATTGGGTGCAGAATCGTGTCTTGGCTCCTGTGTTGAGAAGGCAAAGGTCAGCCTCCACTAAAAATTGCTCAACGATGTCTCCATGTTGATTGGTGTTTGTATCTCCCCATATTGGGTTTCTGGCGTTAAAGTCCCCAATGATCAGGTAAGGGGGCGGAAGTTGGCGGCTAAGCTGTACGAGATCATATATGGACAGAGGGTACCGGGGAGGGACATAAATGTTGCAGACTGTAAGCAGCCGGTGGAGCTGGAGGCGCACCGCGACTGCCTGGAGTGGGGTTTGGAGGGCTATACGCTGGAATGCTCAGTCGTTACTTATGAAGCACATTAGGCCATCGCCCGGAGCGCCCCGAGCAGCCTGCGAGTGGGTGAGGACGCTGTATCCACTTGGAGGCCGGGCCACAAATTGCCCCAACATGCTCTCTTGGAGGCCCGCGTGGGCCAGTCCGAGGTCATAGAGCAGTGGCAGAAATTCACTGGAATTTGCGCGGTATCCGCGGCAGTTCCATTGTAGTATTGTCATTTCACAGTTAGGGCTCCGGAGGGCGTGTGTCCATTGAGATGTCTGATGGCTCTACTCGAAGGGGCTTGCTCGAGGGCCGTCCCGAGGAGACAACAGGGGTACTGTTCAGTTTAGATATAGATATCGGTTTGGGTAGGAAAGCGGGTACATTTGGTGGCATGGGGTAGTCCGCTAGCAAAGACGAGGACGATGCCCCATGTCGTTTGGCTGCGCCTTCGCCTTCTACAGACTTGGATCGGTCTCGCGGGCGTCTGGCAGCGCGAGACGGTGATCGACGGCGTGCTGGCGCCGTCGAGGGTTTGGAGGACGATGATGAGGGTGGTGTTCCTGCCAGTACGGGAGGAGGGTCCTGACTGAAAGGGTCGAGAAAGTCTAAGAAGTCTCAGGCGAGGGTGGTGGAGGCATGTGTGGAGAGTAGTCTGTTGTATGATTGTCAGGCGAGAGTGTGGTATGTAAAGGATATGAATCGGTTGCAAAAGTGGATGGATAAGTGTTATAGATACGTGTGGAGTGACCGGAATGGCCAGCCTCTCAGGCAAATGCAAGCGAGAGGAGTGAACATGTGGGATGTGAGGAAGTGTTTGAGTGTCAAGAGTGTGAGATGGAAGATTGAGAAACGTGTGTTGGAGCGAGTGGGGCATGTTATGAGAATGGGAAATGAGAGACTGACGAAAGCGATGGTGCTAGGATGGTATGAGAGGTTGGAAGGTTTCGGGAAGATGAAAGGGCGTAAGAGGAAGACTGTTTTGTACAGGAAGCGAATGCTGAAGGAAGCGGGAGTGGACTGGACTGATGTGGAGCGGCTGAGCAGAGATAAGGATGGATGGAAGAGCATGGTGAAAGAGCGTATGGAGCATTTGTATGAGTGGGAATGTCAGAGAGGGCATGAGTACGTTTGGGAGGCAAATGTGGCGAGACTGAACAGGAATGTTAGAAGAATGAATGACTGGGTGTGTAGATACGATGGGTGTGGGAAGGTCTGCCGAAGTAAGGCGGGCCTGACCAACCACCAGAAGCGCATGCATAGAGTAGCTGAGGAGCGAGTGAGGTTTGTATGTAGCATATGTGGCATGAGTGTTGAGACGGAGGGTGCGAGAGTGAACCATGAGAGGACGTGTACGGGAGGAGCGAGTGGAGTGGGAGACAGGAGACAGTGCGGGAGGTGCAATACGTGGATCCCGAAGGGGAACTACGCGAGGCATGTGAGGGGATGTATAGNATCTCGTACGAAAAGTGAAACTAATACGGCAATCTCGTACAAAAAGTGAAACTGATACGGCGATCTCGTGAGAAAAGTGAATCTAGTATGGACAATCTCATGAGAAAAGTCAACCTTAAATGTGCAATCTCATTGAAAAATGAAGCGAACGTCTGACCTGCGGCGGCGGCGCGTCTGTGAACTGTTCAGTCTCGGGCGCACGGCTGCCTCTGACTCTGTCTCTTATACACATCTAGATGTGTATAAGAGACAGGTCTTTGCGTATCCGTAAGAGAGCCAGGTCGTTACCAGAAGGGCGTTTTGCCATCTCTGTTAGTCTGGACTCTCCACCCGAGCCACTCGGCCATGATTGCATCTGAGACCGCACAGCCTCGGGTCTCATTGAGACACGCAAGCCCCCCCCCCACGACAAGGGCGAGATGGCACGGGGGGGTAACAAACAAGAGATATCAACGTGGATTACGAGTAGATGTTATTAAAACAACGTTTAATCAACATTATATTGACGTAGGTTGTCTGGTGGGTTATATATATAAAATATATACAATACAATTTTATCTTACCGAGGTCCGAAGTATCCAAGAACTTCAAATGGTTTGAGGAGTCAGTGAAAGGCCATATTAACTGTTTAGTGTCATACTGTTGTTCATTATCTTGCTGATCCTTTATTGAAAAACCATTTATATCTGCCAGTATCAGGGTATTATCAGCAGTGCCTGATGACTTATCAGGAGCGTGGTCACGTGCGATGCCTTGCAGAGGCCTGAACAGCGTGTGTAGCTGCAGCCGACGCTTGCAGAACACGCCGTAACATTCTGGAATATGATGGCAAACTGACGTAAAAACGTTAAAACTGACGTAAAAACGTTAAACCTGACGTAAAAAGGTTAAAACTGACGTAAAAAGGTTAAAACTGACGTAAAAAGGTTAAAACTGACGTAAAAAGGTTAAAACTGACGTAGAAACGTTAAAACTGAGGTAAAAACGTTAAAACTGCGGTAAAAACGTTAAAACTGACGTAAAAACGTTAAAACTGACGTAAAAACGTTAAACTGACGTAAAAACGTTAAACCTGACGTGAAAACGTTACAACTGACGTGAAAACGTTAAAACTGACGTATAAAGGTTACAACTGACGTAAAAACGTTAAAACTGACGTAAAAACGTTAAAACTGACGTAAAAAGTTAAAACTGACGTAAAAACGTTAAAACTGACGTGAAAACGTTAAAACTGACGTAAAAACGTTCCGGCAAAATGTGAAGGAAAATAAAAATTGCTAAGACAAAGGCTACGGCCAGACTAAAAGCGTTCACGTGTACGCTGACCGACGCTTCAAGCAGAGCGGCGCCGCGCCGCGCGTATGGTGTCCAAACTAGACGCTGAACCGCTCAGCTTACTGCGAGTCAGTGTGTAGAAATGAGTGTCTACGAGAGACTAACAGCCGTTCTCCTTGAGGAAAGTTTAATAGGGAAATAAAAGATAAATTTTAAAATCCCATATTTACTATATTTCGTCTTTTTAGGAATCCATTCAGATGAGATTAGACAGATATTTGATAGGTTATAGATGATGAATACCTCGCGAGTCATGATGAAACGCCACTTGAGTTGGTAGGTGATGTAGCTTACCCATTACTTCCAAACTTGATAAGACCATACCCCCGCCAAAACTTAGATGAGAGCAAGAATATATTCAACTATACAGACTATCTAGGGATCGGCGTTGTGTAGAATGCGCATTTCGAATTATAACTTCACAATTCAGAATTTTAACGAAATCCAGCGAGACCAGCATGGATAATGCTGTAGAACTAACTAGAGCAATTACAGTTTTGAACAACATGATTCTTGCTAGGGAGAACTTTAATATATACACGGCATTTACATCTATAAAAATAAATGCATCGAATGAACAACATGAAACTATAGTATGATTGCTCCTGTTCATAGAAACAGCTCTAGAATTGCAACAGATACTCGGAAAAAATTTACGAATTATATCATATCTGATGCAGGAAAAGTAGCTTGGCAGAACCATATGCTGTGAATGAATAAACAATAAGAATATCCAAGAACATCGGTGAGAGGCATCCCAGATTGCAGGTACCGCCTCAACTGTCGAGAGCAATGCTTCGACACCTATCACTCATGGCTTTCAAGAACACTGCACGGTGCACGCGCGTGTCCGCGTCGAAATATTTTTCTCGAGTAATGTCGATTTTCCACCGCGCGGCAACGCGTGTGTACGCTTGAAGCAGCTTCAGCCTGTAAGCGTTAAGTGTGCCCACTCTGGTAGAATTACGTACATATAATATCGCAGCGTGAGCGCGCGTACGCCTGCCTACGCGCCAACGCTTTTAGTCTGGCCGCACCCAAAGAATTCTGACAAGAAGAGAATAGAATATATACCATAAACAAGTAATAGGTAGAAAAAATTATCAGACAAATAAAGTTCTGACAAGAAGTAAGTAAATGAATAAAGGAGAGAATGACCAGAAATAAATTTTGAATGCTTGATCAAGCAATAAAAGTTGTATTATAAATTACGAAGGAATAACGATAAAATTTTTTCGCAAGTAACAGAGAAGCAAGTCTGCTAAATGAATAACATATAAAAAAGTAATAAATTCAAGTTACCAGAAGTAGTAAAGCCTATTTTCCTGATGGTTAAGTAAGACGACGGCAGACTCTCCCAGGCTCTGCTCTGCACTGTCCTGTCAGTGACGCTGTGTACCTCGTGGCGGGTGCACGCGCCGCTCACGCTCTCCTCGCACTCGCTGCACCACAGCTCTGCAAGAAAAATGATCGATGATCTTAAATAAAAATGTTGACCCTACAGCTCTGCAGGGAAAATGATCGATGATCATAACTTAGAGAAACTATCGAAGATCCTCAGCACACATCTGATAAAAGAAAACTAATAAGTATTACTACTAATATTTGGCCTAATTAAAAATGTTAACTAGCCCATCATTCCATGATATGTCAATTTTTAAATATTAGCAGGCATCGGACTTTTTTTTAATTCATTGCAGAATTGTTTCACCAATATTAAATCAATGGATATTTAGGCAAGCAACTGAGAACTGAAAACTTTTCTATATAATTAATAGTAATACGGCGGACTCATAAGAAAAGTGAAACTAATACGGCGGACTCATAAGAAAAGTGAAACTAATACGGCGATCTCGTGAGCAAAGTGAAACTAGTATGGACAATCTCATATGAAAATTGAAACTAATACGGCAATCTCGTACGAAGAGTGAAACTAATACGGCGATCTCGTGAGAAAAGTGAAACTAATACGGCGATCTCGTGAGAAAAGTGAAACTAATACGGCGATCTCGTGAGAAAAGTATAAAAATGTTGACCCTACAGCTCTGTAAGAAAAATTATCGATGACTTTAAACTAATCTAAATGTTGACCCAACAGCTCTGCAAGAAAAATGATCGATGATCTTAGATAAAAATGTTGACCCTACAGCTCTGTAAGAAAAATTATCGATGATTTTAAACTAATCTAAATGTTGACCGTACAGCTCTGCAGGGAAAATGATCGATGATTTTAACCTAGAGAAACTATCGAAGATCCTCAGCACACATCTGATAAAAGAAAACTAATAAGTATTTCTTCTAATATTTGGTATAATTAAAAATGTTAACTAGCCCATCATTAAATGATATGTCAATTTTTAAATATTAGCAGGCATCAGACTTTTTTTTTTAATTCATTGCAGAATTGTTTCACCAATATTAAATCAATGGATATTTAGGCAGGCAACTGAGAACTGAAAACTTTTCTATATAATTAATACTAATACGGCGATCTCATTAGGAAAGTGAACCTAATACGGCAGACTCATAAGAAAAGTGAAACTAATACGGCGGACTCATAAGAAAAGTGAAACTAATACGGCGATCTCGTGAGTAAAGTGAAACTAAAACGGCGATCTCGTGAGAAAAGTTAAACTAGTATGGACAATCTCATATGAAAATTGAAACTAATACTCGTACGAAGAGTGAAACTAATACGGCGATCTCGTGAGAAAAGTGAAACTAATACGGCGATCTCGTGAGAAAAGTGAAACTAATACGGCGATCTCGTGAGAAAAGTGAAACTAATACGGCGATCTCGTGAGAAAAGTGAAACTAGTATGGACAATCTCATATGAAAATTGAAACTAATACGGCAATCTCGTACGAAAAGTGAAACTAATACGGCAATCTCGTACAAAAAGTGAAACTGATACGGCGATCTCGTGAGAAAAGTGAATCTAGTATGGACAATCTCATGAGAAAAGTCAACCTTAAATGTGCAATCTCATTGAAAAATGAAGCGAACGTCTGACCTGCGGCGGCGGCGCGTCTGTGAACTGTTCAGTCTCGGGCGCACGGCTGCCTCTGACTTTTGCGCAATAAACAATAATTATTCAAAGATAATCTTGAGACTATAACATAGGGATAATTAAACAGAATTATCACTGTACGAGTATTTCTGTAAGAAAATATTTCTCGTAATCTACTCATAATATGAATACATTCAAAACATTCGTCATAATTATTTTGAGGGCATTATCCTAGGAACGGATGAAATAAATGTTTTAAACCAGAATACTTATTTTTAAAATGTTTCATTTATTCATTTCTCATCCCTATTGTCTTGTTATGTCAAATATATTAAATTTAATAACNCTTCTCAACATCTTGTTGCGTTTAATCTCTTCAGTAATTCTGAAATTTTAGACTAGCGGATTATGCAAAGGAATAATATAGACAGATTTTACAGCAACAATTAGAAACGATCAATAGTTATCCCTCCAAGGTTGAAACTGGAACAAAGCGAAATATATTCTACTGAAGCATAAACAAAACTAAATGCCAATTTACTCACTTGAGCATGAGGCTTGTCGTTAGTGACCTGAGTGTTCATTGCTGTTGGACGAGCTAACATTCCCAAACCAGAACATAATTCGGTTCTGGCACTTGAAGCATCCAAAGCCATTGAAGTTTTGATGGGATTATTTGAGATGCAGTCTATGCTTGGCTGTATAGCTTCTAGTGTCTCAATGTAGCTTCCGACAAGAGACGTCGTACTTAGCTTGTCCTCAACGTTTACATTTTTGTTTGAAGAAGATGCAAGAAGGAAGTCTGAATTGCCATTGCTACAGAATACAGATGAATCAGTTAAGGAACTTCCTTTAGGTGCCGGGTGTTTGTGGTCAGTGCTCTGCTCCTGAGGCTGATGAGCAGCGCTATAGTACACTAAAGTATTGGTCACTGAGGCACCAGCTGTGGAATACGTAACAGGTTGGCCATAGGTAGTTAGACATTGAGGTTCTGAAGCTTTGGAGAACTTAATGTGCTCATCATGAGATGTTGAACATTGAGATTCCAAAGCATTGGAGTGATTATTGGGTTCATTATTGTGAGATGTTGAACATTGAGGTTTGGAAACTGGGAAGTAAATAATGTGCTCATCACGAGAAGTTGAGCATTGAGATTCCAAAGTATTGGAGTGATTAATGGGTTCATTATTGTGAGATGTTGAACATTGAGGTTTGGAAACTGGGAAGTAAATAATGGGTTCATCATGCGAAGTTGAGCATTGAGGTTGCAATGAAGCTTGTGGTCCCGACAGCGTCATCACATCAGATGTGGTGATTGCCTTGGTATTGCTAGTGATGAGTAATACGGTAGGAATAGCCTCATGATCATGGTTCCTAGGAAAAGAAACTGAATCTCCTACATCCTGTTGTGATGGGACTGTTTCTATGGGCGTTGAGAGAAAAGAATTTGAAGAATTGAACGTGACTGAAAGTGGACTGATAGAAGACGAGTTGCACTTTTCTGTTGAAATTTCTAGATATTTCTTCTCGCTGGCAATTGACTCGTCTCGAACACACATCGCGGGAGTAGTGCAAGAGTGGTTCACAACGTCACTATTTTGTATAGGATGAACGTCATAATCAACAAATTCAGATGAAAAGTTGATAAGATTCGTGGGCGTTGAAGTGAAGTTGAGCATTGAGGTTGAAATGAAGCTTGTGGTCCCGTCAGCGTCATCACATCAGATGTGGTGATAGCCTTGGTATTGCTTGTGATGAGTAATACGGTAGGAATAGCCTCAGGGTCATGGTTCCTAGGAAAAGAAACTGAAACTCCTACATCCTGTTGTGATGGGACTGTTTCTATAGGCGTTGAGAGAAAAGAATTTGAAGAATTGAACGTGACTGAAAGTGGACTGATAGAAGACGAGTTACTCTTTTCTGTTGAAATTTCTAGATATTTTTTCTCGCTGGCAATTGACTCGTCTCGAACGGACATCGCGGAAGTAGTGCAAGAGTGGTTCACAACGTCACTATTTTGTATAGGATGAACGTCGTAACCAACAAATTCAGATGCAAAGTTGATAAGATTCGTGGGCTTAAAATACCGGTTTGAGATAAAACGGAAATCTAAAATTTTTTGTCATAAATATATTTGTCAAAGTTTGTGTGCGCGTGGGCGCCTCTCCGGACACCTCGCACCTGAAGGCTCCGTCCGCCCCCACCGTCACGTTGGTCACGCGCACCTTGCCCCCCGACGACTTGTAGCGTTGAAGTTCCACACACGGGCGTCACTAAGTCAATTCTTTTCTCGGGCGAAGTGTCAAGGTATTTCGAGCACGGCAATGCAAGCGTTTCACAACAAATGTCTTGATTCAAGTTAACATCGTCTGGAATGCTATGAATGGAAGAAATAAACTTCCCACCACACTTACGTGAGATACCACTATTGAGTTCATTGAATCCATTACATTTTTTCTTTAAATTTTTGTCTTTTGAACAAACAGAATATGAAATCATGTCTGAAGAGTTAGCTTCAGAAATATCTCGTTTCTTTGGATTGTTCTTAGAACATTGTAGATTCTCTTCATGAATTGTAGCAGTGGAACTGTTGGACTGTCTATCTGAGGAAGAATGACTTGCATTGACATTTTGATAGCGTGTTAGAGGCTGCTTGACTGGAGGACTTGCTGTACAGCCTCTGTCAGTCGGGTGTTCTGAATAAGCCGTTTCATTCTCCAGACCAGCAGTGAGAATATCTTCAAAAGACGTGCCGATTTTACAACCGTCAAAGGGTGAACCACAAGCAAGTGCTCTATGCTCTATAGTAGGATCCACTCCAAGAGTGTCTGGATGGTGACTTGCAAGCTTAGAAGATGAATCTGAAAGCGAATTCTGGCTTCTTCCAGTCGAAACATTCGAGATTCTCGCCAAACGTGCTTTTTTCTCAGGCGAATCTTTAGCCAATGGGTCCTGACCAATTGAGTTTTGGTTCATTGACGCATACAAGCGCTTAAATCTGGCCTCATGGGAATAGGTTTCAGGAAACTCCAGACTTGATGAAGCATTATTACTCCAAGGCAGACCCTCAGTCATCTTCCGTTCATCACCAAGACCACAAGATTTTTTTATCACAAGCGGCGAAGTGGCAGGATTTGAATGTTGTGAGACAGAAGATTGTTGATCTGATCGATTGATTGTGGCAACGTCGCATGGGGGAGGCAAACAATCTTTGGAAACGCTGGGAGTTGTGAAGGTGACCGAGTCATGTGAGACACTAAAAGACTATTTGTTGACATTCCAGATAGCGTGAAGGCAGGGCTTGTCTCAGCATTTCTTGATTCAGCCACTGATGGCGTACCTGAAAGAATTAAAAATTAGTCAATATAATTACACACTCCTAACCTGAACTCTTGAAACTATTTGGAAATTATGCATCAATGTATCATCAGAAGTACAATTAATGAAGAACTTGTGTAAAGCACTTCATAACAGGAGATTTGAGTACCATTCCATGAATAAGTAGGAATTCTACCAAATAATAACACAATAGGGCATGCAGTCTGTCAATACAAATGATAAATATAAAAAACATAGGGTATACTTCAGTCCCATCCCTTACTAGTCCTTGTAGAGAAAGAACTGAGGAACGTTATTTATTGTTCTTTTCCATACTTCGGCCCTGCGTCCGAAGCTATGTCAAGAGAATTAAAAGTCTTGTTCAATAGATACTTTCCAAGCGTTAAACTCCATATTGTTCTGGTTAACAGTTTCAAAATCGGTTCTTTCTTTAGATATAAAGATATGCTCCCTGTTCATATGCGATCGTCCCTGGTTTATCAATTTCGTTATGCACAATGTGCATCTGCGTACGTCGGTATGACTTCACGCAATCTTTATTCCAGGATCGCTGAGCATAAGGGCAGGAGTTGTATATAGGACCGGACAGTTGCTATCGCGCCCCCCTCATTCGGCTGTGCGCACTCACGCCGAGCATTGTGATGTGCCTGTTTCTGACAGAGACTTTAGGGTGTTAGCTTCTACCTCCGGTACTTCAGATTTGCGTATCTTAGAATCAATGTACATTTTTAAGCTTAGGCCCAGTTTAAATTCAGCAGTGAGCTCCTATCCCCTTGAAATTGTGAATAGATAGGTTTTTATACCCTATTACTTGTAAATTTAGGTTCTAATTGAGTTCTGTGCTTTCAATTTTATTAACTTGTGACCTTCTATGTATATTCTAGATTCTACGAACTGACGATGGAGCTGGACTCTGAAACGTTTTCTATAATGATATGAATTTTTTTGACTATTCTTTGCTTTTAAATTTTTAGTCTAATCACATAAGAGACGTCCCGTAGCTGCCGATGCAGACGGCAAGTTTGACTGCTCGGGCAACCATGACGACACAAGAACGATAAAATTGTCAAGACTTAATTCAACAGATTCGGTACATACCAACCCAAATTATTCTTCATAACAAAATGACTGACATACCGAATTTTCTGCATGTGATATACGTTAAACAAGTTTCTGGCAAATGAGGCAGGACGAGGGCAGAGGCAGGAGCGTCGCCCCCGCGCTGCCCACGGGGGCCGTCAAATTAAGCCTCGGCCCAAACACCGCAGCACCAGGGAGGGGGCAAAGCTAAGCCTGCTTAGCCGCACTCAGCGCACGTAGTGTCCTGCAGGTCTCTTCAAATTTTACGAGCAAATGAAGAAGAGATAAAATAAGCCAGGTTATCTCGTGCCTTCATACAATATATTAGATATTATATATTGTAATGCTGAATACTTGGAACTTCACCAGAAACGAAGCCAGGAAAATTATGACCAAAAATTCAGCGCAGTTACCTCAAATTTTTCTGCACTAAATTAAACTTTCTAGCAGAAGCATCATAAATGTAATATTATTTTGGATATTATGAACAGTATGGAATAGTCGGCTTGGCCGTTAATGAGGTTAAAAAGAATCTTTAAAATGACTGTAAAGACCAGGGGTCTCCAAACTTTTCAATGAGCGGGCCACATTATATATTTCTCATATACACGCGGGCCAAAGGAATAAAAAAATCAGTGCCAGCAATTTTATTTACTCAAATATTAAAGTATAAACATAGAAATATTAAAACATATCTTTTTGGAAAAAATCGGGGTAAACTAAATATATGCCTGTCTTAATGCCTATCGAATGATGCTGTCGTTTTGACTTCAAAATTTCATTAAAATCCTGTTCCAGATTAGATGAGCCAGTTGTAAGAATTTATTTCGAGTTATCATCAGAAAATTTGCTCTATATTTAGATTTCACATACTTCATTTTGGGAAATGTTTGTTTACACAAGGTATGTTGAACCGAAAATGGAACCAAAACTGCAAGCAAACTTTATCAAATTTGGAAACTGATCAGGCTGTAGGCATTTATCAAACTCAATCTGATTTCCTTCTTTACAATTAGTCTTCAGTCTGTCATCTGTCCGGAGATCAATAATTTCCATTTGAAACTGAGTTGGAAGATATTCAGCATTGCAGTCAAATGGATTTTGAAAGAGCTGTGCTCCCTGAAACAGAAGCAGTGAAGCCCCACTCGGCCTCCATCCTCACAATATACGTACAGTTATGCACAACTGATTGGTTGTAATGCACAACACATATCTACCAGTATTAGTATCTGTACGTCACACTTTCGAGAGAGAGGAAATCTGACTCGGGCTGAGCGCCACCAGTCAGCAAGCCCCAGCTTTGAATAATTATGCGATGCAATTCATAAAATAATTATTTATTAATTTCACGACTTCGTCCGGCGGGCCGGGTGAAATTATGTGGCGGGCCAGATGTGGCCCGCGGGCCATAGTTTGGAGACCCCTGGTAAAGACCATGTTTTAATTAGAAAACACATGTCTGGCGTAGACAGAACGAGAAAAATGTGAGCAATGCGTATCACGAAGCTTAACATGCAGATTTTGTGTTAAAAATCCAAATTCTAAGGAAAGCCAGTTCCTGCGTTCAGACGAGTTTTTACTAGGTAAATAAGGTCAATATGACACGTTGGACGCATTGCGACTATATGTTGAATTTGCGGTATTGCTGCTCATTTTTAGTAGCGCCAATATCTTTGTTGCTGGTTTATATTATTTAGACAAATCGTTGGAATGTAATGTCATGACGCATCCAAATCATTTTTTTTGTTCAATATTGGAATTTACTGGTAGGTACTGTCATAACGCTTCAAAATCACTCTTTGGTGAATAATCTCGTGATTTACATATTGACGATATTCGTCAAACACGTTTAAATATTTACTTACTAGACATGGGAGCTCAAGACAATAATAGTTAGATTGAATAGTGATTGACGCCTTGTATGATTAATTGTTCACTTGACCACCATTGTTGCTCAGGAACATCAATAAAGTCACGTCTACGACAGCAGTAGCAAAATAGTGCTCAACTTACGTCTGGATGACAAACATGTGTAAAAACAGAACAAAATTCGATCAGACGGCGTATTCCACAGAAGAAAAATCCCTAGCTTAAAAAGAATAGTTAAAATTATTAAAAAGTCATTAGAAGCCGGGCCACACTGCCTCCTGCCTCCCTAGTAACATCATCTGTATGAGGCGGATTTATAACAACACATTTTCGACTAACTTAGATATATATGGATGATTGTGAGCGCCTTTTATGATTTTATGAACCTCAGCAAACGTCCATCTGCCGCGGACATGGCAATTTCTTATCACATAAGAGACGTCCTGTAGCTGCCGATGCAGACGGCAAGTTTGACTGCTCGGGCAACCATGACGACACAAGAACGATAAAATTTTCAAGATTTAGTTCAACAGATTCGGTACATACCAACCCAAATTATTCTTCATAACAAAATGACTGACATACCGAATTTTCTGCATGTGATATACGTTAAACAAGTTATTTTCGTCACTGTAATAATGGCACAACTACTTAGATTGAATACGATGGGGTCTGTCTTATATGGCTGCTCACTCATTGTCAATTGCACGCTGAGAGAGCAAGCTTTCTGGTGTGTAAATGAAGACTAATTTAGGCCATTGCCATCATATTGCTACCGTGCTTGAAGGTTGTTTTAAACCAAATATAGACTGTCTCTTATACACATCTAGATGNAGGAATTTTTCAAAGCTAGTAAATGTAGTATTTTTGAACTTCCTTTATACTACATAGATAGGAAAAATGTTGATGTTTATGCCACTATATTTAGTTTTGCAATATTCCAATTAGTTTTGCTACTAAAACAGTTTTATGCCGTGTCGGAGGTCTGTTCCGAGTCTGTCTCTTATACACATCTAGATGTGTATAAGAGACATACACAACCCTGCCTCACTGCACTGTCTCCCACAACCCTGCCTCACTGCACTGTCTCACACAACCCTGCCTCACTGCACTGTCTTCCACAACCCTGCCTCACTGCACTGTCTTCCACAACCCTGCCTCACTGCACTGCCTCCCACAACCCTGCCTCACTACACTGCTCGCTGGTCAGCATAATTTCCGTATTTTTTAACCCATAGCAATAGTTCACATGCACCAACTCATAACTTGCCAGTTCGTATAAGAAAATGACCTAGTCTCCTAGTCAATCATTCTGGATCATTAACTTAAGCCAATGTATTAATTCTGGTCAAACATTGAGCTGCACTTATTAGTAGTAATAAACAAATAATACAGGCTGTGTGCCCAGAAAGTCAATTCAGTAATACACACAAAACATGAAACAAACCAACAAGTTTAGCTTGATAATTTGTGCTTGCAGTGACCATATATACATTTCATAAATAATAGCATAGCATGTGATGGAAATAAATTAGTTGATAATAACACAGTTCAACAATTGAATTCAGTTTTGTCTTCCAATGAATATAAATAATTGTTGCATCGTATTCTAGCAAACATTCATTTACCTGTGTAGAGAGAACTTGAATGTTGAGATGAGGCAAGGCAAAATATTGACACTCTTAGTGAGAAATCAAACCTAAGCCACCAATGGCTAGTGATATTCACACAATGTACTAATATGAACATGAAATATTTATTTCATGTGATTTTTGGATTATTGGAGACACTGATAGATGAGAAAAATTATCCAGTGATGGTAATTGTATTTTTTTAATCACATATAAAGTTTAGTTGCTTGACAATGTAGGTATAAGCAACTCACCTGAAGCAGGTAGCCTAGCTACACGCTCCCACAAGCGTCTGCAGCAACACAGGCCCCATGGCTGCTCTCAGGTAGATATTTCAATTTAATCCAAGTTCAATTCAGAATTTTAAATAATTATGTGCAGTAAGTCTCTAACGAAAGACAACCAAGCATGAAAAACACTGTAAGCTTAGTGTACCGGAAAATATTACACATCAATTATTATTCAGTTAATTTCTGCATACTGTATCATTGAATCTAATTCAAGATATAAATACCAAGAAATATAGTGCCACTAATAAAATTTCATGTATGGTAAAAGCAGATCAGAAAAGGTGCATGAAAATTAAGCTCCTTGTAAAAAAATTAGGCTTCGCCAAGTCATTGCTGCTGCAGTCTGTTTCAAAATAGAGGAGCAAAAGGGGTACAAGTAAATGGTATTAACAATACCGTCAACCGGGGCTACTCGGGACAATTTCAAACGTTTTTCATTCA